ACAGACCAATCTCAAGTCCCTATTCAAACAAGGCTAGTTCTGCAATGCCTTTTACCCTCTGCATCGTATTACCTACACCTGAATATTTGTATTGAGTTTAATTATTGAATTAGCAAATAGTTGAGGGTACTTCTCAAAATTCTCCCTGCCACTTTCAGATGGAGTTTGAAGATTCATCTGTTATTCTCTTCTTTTATAGCTCATACGGGGTGCCTCATATCTCCATAAGATATATTGACGGCAGAGTAATTCAAATAAGCAATAATTCTTTTTGATGTTTTCTGTCAAGGTGTCGCTCACAATTTAATGAATGTTGGACGTTATTAGTTAATTTGGATGGGAAGTAAAAATAGGGATAATCAGCAGCAATTTTAGAATTGTAAGGAGTTTGCAAGAAGTGGCTTTATCAAAGCAATCACATACCTCAGGAAGTACATTCCTTTCTGAAGTCTGATGTTTATACGCGTAATATTTTATAAATCTGACTGCTCACATACTCTACATATTTCTGTCTTTTGGAAGATAGAGGAGATACATTTTTTTGGTTAACATTTTTACTACCATAACTAATGGGATCTGTATTAATCAGTTTATTACAAACCTAAATCTCATTGTTCAGATACTTAATATGTAGCTGTTATATCATTAACCGTGCGATTGTTCTTTTAGTATATTATATGCTGATTTGTTGAACTATTTTATTTGCTAAAGGAATACGGGCCCAGAAGGGTGGAGAATAAGACAACGACATTTTGAGACCGTTACTTCGCTTGTTCGATCCTGCCGGAGGTTTTTCCCTCCAGGTTCTGCATTTGAGATATGGTCTGAGTTCAGGTAACATTTTACTTCCTGGGCTTAGTCTCCAAGACTGCTAAAATTGACAGTAATGTGGGGTGTATATTGTACTTTATTTCTTAGGATCCTTGAAAGGGGAAGTTCTTAAAAGAGAAGCTAATGTTTCTGTTAGCGTGGAGTATGTAGTGATCTAACTATGAAAGATACTAGTTCATTTATACATGCATTATATTGCTCTAGGCTCATGTGATAATTATGGGTGGAAAAGAACATTTGATTTGTACATTTTTGTTTGTATTTTAAGCTACTTTTCCTTTGGCATGCCATTATTCATGTGAAGACTGGTGGATTTGGAATCCTTTAAGATAATTGGAGAACTTGGCTGACCTTATGCTGACGGTCAGATCCAGGTCATTGAAATCAGAATTTTGCGCTTTGCACAATCTGCATATCATGGTGAACTTATGGGTTTATTAAAAAGTGTTAACTTAGAGGGATTATCTAATTGAAATTGGAATTTCTTGTGTGGTTTACACCTTTTTGGGGCTTGAATCCTTTTTTGGGACTATGAATGAATATGTAGGACTTCACGTGCACTTTGAAGCTGTTAGTCCCTCATTGGTTGCAGGATTGGGTTGTAGTATGGTCTTGGGAAATCCTCCCCTCAGAGCTAGCTCTGGGGTTGAGTTAGGCACAAGGCCCATTTCTTCACATGGTATCTGAGCCAAATCCATTGATTCCTGTTGTTGTTTTTCTCAATGTTGGCCCCCTGGATTATGTTATCCACGTTCCAGTTCTCGTCCTATACGTGCAGGGGTGGTGGTGGTTTAGTCTGACATTAGTTGAGGGAACAAAGTGTTTCCTTATATAGTCGTGTGCAATCTTCCCCTCATGAGCTAGCTTTTGGGGTTGAGTTAGTCTCAATATCTTTTTCTTCATAGAAGCATTCCTAGGATACTTTTGTGATACTTCATTTTACTNTTTTGTAAGATTGTTCCTTCCTACCAATAGAGACAACCAGGATTTCTTTTCTCAGTAAGGACGATCAACTTATTCTGAAAATCTTTTCACTTTCATTTCACTAGATGAGTAAATTGATTTTCTTTTTGGTGTTATGACAGCACATGGATTGCTACGTGTTTAGCCCACTGGGATTCAGTACCAAATTCCCAGTTTTGGAACAGCCAGTGGGCCTCTGTTACAGCTCGTGTGATAAAGAACTATAGCTTCATTGACTGGGCACATTACTTACCAGATATTTTCAATAAGTACTTGAATATGTTTGAGGTAGGTTATGTTGCATAGACTTTTATCGTGCCGCTTGAAGAAATTTTCTCGGCAACTGAGCATGTGCAGACAAGTCTGTCTTATTACTATGCCTTGTATACAAAATCATATTCCATCATATATGTACATTGAAAGGTTTCTTATCTTAGGAAGAATTGAACTCGTTGGCATGCTGTTTCTCACGTAATACTTCATTCATGCTTGTTCACAGGTTCCCGTTGCAAATGGCAGGGGATCTACTCCATTCTCTGTGGATGTTCCCAGAAACACAAGATTCTTGTTCTCAAATAGAACAATCACTCCATCACAAGCCATTGCGAAATCAATAGTAAGCTCACTAATATAAGTGATCATAAGAAAATATTTGCATATTGTCAAAATGACCCTGTGTTTTTGTCAACGTAAATACAGGTTTATCTACTAAAACCTGGTAGTTCTGCGCAAGAGCATTTGGAGAAATTGGTCAACCTCCTGGAACAGTCTGTTTTCTAGATGGATTTTATATCACCTTGCTTTCGCAAATTTTGTCTTGCAAATTTTGTAAACCATCTCTTTTTTTGTTTTAGGTATTACCATCCTTCTAATGGTGGTCGCTGGACTTATTCCCTAGAGCGATTCTTGTTCCACTTGGTAAATACATTTCAGAAGCGCTTGCAGCATGAGCAACAGTAAGAATTTTTAATCTATCATAACAGCTCTAGATACTACATGGAATATGTTGCCTTAATCTGACGGTAAGACTGGGCTCAGGAGAAAAGATGATGGCGAGCAGTCTGAAATCTTCCTAGGGCAATCAGAGAGGGTTGCTTTTGTGATNGTGAATTCTATTCTCAAGCTAATTGATCGTGGACAGTATAGCAAAAATGAACATCTTTCTGAAACAGTTGCAGCTGCCACTTCTATCCTTTCATATGTTGAACCATCTATGGTTCTTCCCTTTCTATCATCTCGCTTTCGTATGGCCTTAGAGACGGTGAGTTTGTTTAAGAAAGAATCTTGGTAATTTTGATTCACACTCCATTTTGAACCATTTAAAATAGATAGCTCCTGTGTGGCTGAAGAGTTAATATTCTTTGAGTTAGACTGATGATTTTACCCCCTTAACTACAATTTTCCGAATAGATGACAGCCACTCACCAGTTGAAAAGTGCTGTGACGTCTGTAGCATATGCTGGTCGATCTCTTCTCCTGACTATGTCAGCTTCATCCATGGCTTTGGACATTGTTGATCGTTCTGATTCACTTGTTGACCTGATGATGATTTCCTTGTCTAATGCATTACTTGGGATGGATGCCAATGACCCACCTAAAACCTTAGCAACAATGCAACTAATTGGCTCCTTATTCTCCAACGTAAGTACCAATATTAGAAGTTGCTTCCTAGTTTTGGCTTGATCCACAGAAGATTATGCTTATTTATCTTACCTGCAGATGGCTATACTGGAAGAGACTATGGACCAGTCCTCACTCATGCCAGGATTTCACTTTTCAGAATGGCTTGACGAGTTCTTGTACCGCTTATTTTCGTTACTTCAAAACTTGGAAGCTAACAGTGTTGTGTAAGTAGCACTTAATAGATTCTTCTCACTTTTGTTTTGTCATATTTTCCAAATTAATGCTACAAACTTGAGCACTAGTAATTGGAGTCAATTGTATATCTCGCATAAGCTCAAGGCTGTTGTCATAACTGGTGCTTCAGGAATGAGGGTCTTCATTCACCAGCAACTTCAGGAACTTTCCTGGTAG